AAACAAATAAATAACTAAATGAAAAGTGAGTTGGAACGAATGTACCAAATGTCTACTTAAAAAAGTAGACGTGTATGACCGGAAGCCGAAAATTGAAAGTTGAATTTTGAAGCTCCAATTTCCAAAGATCAAATTCGTAATTTTAACGAGAATAAGAGAATTTGGAGAGTAGAGAGTAGAGAGATTAAAAGATATTTTTGTGAGTGAAAAGAATAAAAGATTAGGGGTATTTATAGTTAAAAAAAAGGATGAAAATGTAGTTTTAAGAAGTTTGGGGTATTAAAAAAGTTTGGGGGGTAGGGAGGTGTAAAGGGGGGTTATGGGGGTGAAAGAGCCGTTGGTGGGGCCCAAAAGCCGTTGCCCAACGGCTCTCAACGGCTATAAATTTTGAAATTTCAGATTAAAAATAAAAAATAAAAAAAATTGGCCCAACCGGACCGGAACTGGACCGGACCGGGACGGAACCGGGACTAACCGGACCGGGACGAACCGGTAAATTCCGGTTTCCGTCCCGTTACCCCTCCCGGACCGGTATAATACCGGATCTGACCGGTACTATCCGGAACCGAGACGGAACCGGTAACGGACCGGAACGAACTGGAACCGGTACCGGCACCTCCCGGTTCCGTTGCCAGCCTTATTGAAACCCTTCTTCGAACCCTATACATAGCGGGAGCTTTACTGCATCTTTTGTCTTCTTCTCCAACAAACCAATCTTTAAATAACCCCTTTTTTTCACTTCCCACTGATCAGTGCCACTTGTTTTCTTTCCTAATCACACAGTCCATTAAAACCTCTCTCCATCATCACTCCATTATTTGTACAATAAATAAATGCAGCTTCTTCTTTCCAAAGCTTCCCTTTTTTTCAATCCAAGAACTATTTTTTCTTCTTCAACATCAATGGCTACATCTAACTCAATTTCTCTTTCTTCAAAACCCCGTTTAAAGGGTATTGTATTTGACATGGACGGAACCCTAACGGTCCCCGTTATTGATTTTCAGGCCATGTACAGGGCTGTTCTGGGTCATGATGAGTACCTTGCTGTTAAATCCAAGAGCCCTTCTGGCATTGATATTTTGCATCACATTGAAAGTTGGAGCCCTGATAAGCAACGTAGGGCGTATGAGGTTATTGCTGATTATGAAAAACAGGGTCTTGATCGACTCCAGATTATGCCTGGTATGTAGTTTTTATGATTGGGGGTAAAGATTGAGTCTTTTTTTAATTTGTGGGTGTTTTTGACATTGTGATTTTGGTTTCAGGTGCTGCTGAACTTTGTAGTTTTCTTGATTCTAGGAATATTAGGTAAGACTGAGTTATGAGCTGTAGATTTATTGTCACTTGCAGTAAATATATAGTTATTAGTCAGCTACAGAGTTTGGTAGCTCAAGCATTTCTAAAGGTTATTTTGAGCATCTCTATGGAGTATTTGTTTTGTCTTCTTTACTTCTGTATTTTGAACTGCTTTGATATGGGCTACTTGAGTCGAGGGTTCTTTACCTCCTCGAGGTAGGATACACTTTATACTCCTCTCTAGACCCCACCTGTGGGATTACACTGGGTGTGTTGTTGTTATTGTTGTTGGGCTCGAATAGATCCGAACGGACATGGAGGATTACTTTCATTTTCATGGGGAGGGGGTAATGGTACATAGTAGGGGAATGGAAAGGTGAGAGTTGGGTGAGAGATAAGCTTGTACCTTAAGGATGGAAAGGGAGCTCCCACTTAATTTTTATTTATGACGTAATGAGCTACGTGAGCTTTTCTCTTTATTTAGTTCAGCGGTAACCAGTTTGAGCATTTTCCTACATCAAAGTAGTTATTTTTCCTTTCTCTTGACTTTGCCATCTGTTTTATAGTGTCCATGTCATGGCCTAAGGTCTAATGTGCCTAATCTTTCTTTCTCAATCCTTAACTTTGCTTATTCTTTGAAAAGTTTCCATCTTGAGGTGTGGTTGAGAGTTAAAATGCTTCATGAGACTGCTTGAGGACGCAGGGTATGCAGATTGGCCAGTTCTTTTTAAACCAAGAAATCCAGTGTTTCCAAATCCCAACACCGACTGGATAGATCATGGACCTGCTCCTCTACCCATTTCCACTCAAATATGAGACCTCGTTCACTAGTCAGGATGTACGGTTACTACACATTCCTCATTGTACTACCTTTGCTAGTGAAGCAAAGCCCTGATATACAAATTGGCCAGATCTTTTTTCCATTTTTTTGAGTATTTATTACATTATAATTTACCGGGAAGTTTTCTGACCTTTCTCTCATGCGTAAAACTTTTCTTTTTTTCAATTTGTTGGTCTTTTAGACTTCTGTTTTGTTCTGTCTTATGATGCATCACTTACTGTTTTCCTCCTTTTTGACTGTAATGAGGATGTAGCCAAATTATACCCAAATTGGTGTTGGAAGACTTATCAAGCTTAATTCTGTTGTGACTGAATGGTTTTTATTTTGGGATACATAAGTTGTGAAAAAATGCTATGCTCTTGAGATTTTTAAATCTGCTTATATCTGTCAAAGGCATCTTACATTATTTTATGCCCTTCCACCTTCACTCACATTAGGTTATGCCCTTCTCTGTTAATGGATTCCCTTGGGCCACAAATTTGATTTAATGAGAGAAATGACATATTTAAGTTAAGCTCCAACTGGATTATCACATCTTTGATAAATTAGATAGAAGGAAATAGCTCGTGCTTCTGTGTTAGCGCCTTAGCGTTACTGGATAGGTTTGATGTATGCTTCCCTCCTATTGAAAAGTACCTATATTGACTCAAATGTACTAGAAGAAGGAGATGTTATTTCACAGTTTAGATGCTTCTGGTTCTTCGGAAGAGTTTAATTTAATTGTTTTGTGAATTCTATTTCAGAAGGGGATTAATCACTAGGAATGTCAAAGATGCAGTTGACTTGTTTCACGAACGCTTTGGAGTAAGTTTTTTTTTTCCTTTTTCAGTTAAATACATAAAACAATTGTTTTGGCATGAGTTATATGTTGACATTATATGCTGAAGTTAAAGAACAAAGTTTATTGGACTTTCCAGAGGAAAAAAAAAAAGAAGACTGTGCTTGTTCTTCTATTAGGGATGAAACAAGAATCGTCACTGCATAGGAGAAGAAAGAGGAACAATTTATCTTCTTTTATACCTTTAGTTTCTTTAGTTTGAAGTGAAGGCAAATAGCGAAACATAATGGATATTCCAGCTTAAATTTTTCTTCTTCACTCATTACCAGTCAGGCAGTCAGAGGATCATGAACTGCTAAGGTCGTGATGACCTAGGATATCTGTGCAGAAGGTGTGGTGGAGAATGTGTATGAATTTTTTGGTAAAGGTAACTTTATATTCACATCAAAACTCATCATCAAAACCTGATGAGGTGGAATTTACAGCCTCCAGGGGGTAATTTCAAAAGCCAACACTGGGCAAAAACTTTACAATTGAGCTGTAAAATCCACTAGAGGATGTATGTTCACTGGAGCTATAAAAACTTTACAATCTGTATGTTCTTATAGTCAAATAGAGAAGGGAAGCTCAACTAGAGGATGTCTGGTTTCCCTCACAATTATGATGGCATGCTCAATTCATTTCTTTACAGGATCCGCCTTGTGGCTGAACAAAGATTTAAAAGATTATCTAAGGCTTTCTCTGTAACATAACGTGGAATTTATGTAGCTGAAACATGTAACACGGAGAGGGAGAAAAGGTGGACAATACCCTCTTTCTGCTCTGTTAGCAAAACTAAGGGCACGATAAGACTAAATCTGTAAATGATATTTAAAAGAAAAATAAGTCATTTTTCATGAAAAGAAGCATGCAAACCTAGTAAATAAGCAGAGATATGCGTGAAGTTGCAGTGATTTCATTTTCTCATCAAAAGTGAGAAAAGAACCCTGAAAGTTGAAATAAGCCAATGCAAAATCGTTTTGAATAGTCAGAAGGAACAGTCACTGTTTACTCCGTGGCTCTTAAATCCATTTCTTGCTTGCTTTTTAGTGGTTTTGCAACCGCAAAACTTTCTAGGATGCTTATGCATTTCTTTTGGGATAACACCTCTTTTCAGCATTTAGGTAACAGGCACCAGCCATGTAGTTTCTAAGATATAAGAATAGTTGATTGATTCAACTGAGCTTGATTTGGCTGGTCAAGCTCAACTTCAGTTCTATGTCTGAGTAGACAATTACTATGCCATGTAAAATCCTGACAAATGATAGGAAGCACTGGGCACCAGTTAACAGTGCCGGTATGGATGTTCTCAAAGAAGGGTCCACTCATGAGTGACATTGTAGAGGAGTTTACATTCTAGATAAGTTGTGCAGACACTGGATATTTTGGAAAGAAGACACCATAGGCATAAAAACTGCACTGATTGAAAGGTAAAAGAGAGGAAATAATACTGAAACAATACGGAGCCTGCAATTCATAAGCTTTAATACTTCAATAAATTTGCACCCCTTGTTTTATGTGTGGTATTTTTACACATCCTTCTAATATTCAGAAGTAGGGACCCTATTGCTTTGGTCTAATGGTATGACTGCAACATGTGATGTGTGGGTATGTACACGTCAGCTTAGAAGTCCTAATCTTACCCAGACAAAAGATTGGTAAATGGAGAAGGGTAGAGAGGTAGGCCCATTATCCACCGAGTTTCAAACTGTGTGCCACTGGCCTTCGAGGATTTCTTGGTTATTAAAAAAATCAGAAGAATGGAAAAAGGACAAGCCTCCCAATCTTTTCTGTTTTCCATCTGCGCGGACATTATCTGCAGTTATTGTCTCTCATTATTTGGAAATTTAAGATGGTGTTTGGATTGGGAAACAGTTTAGGGAGAATTAATCTTTGGGTAGGTTTCCAGAGAACAGTTTTCTGAAGTGAACATATCCGAGAGGAGGAAATCTAATATGCATAGTTGTGTCTGAGTCCAAGAATGAGTGAACAAACTTCCCTTTCCCATCCTATTATTTAGCATCTTTCAGAATGAAAGAATAAAAGGTCATTTGCTTTAATTTTCTGGCCCCTTAGAAACTTGAATTCTAACTTCTTGAAAAAATGGAAGCTTGAAATCTGAGGGATTCTCCAGGTGTCTAAGGAAGCTTGATGTTTGAGTGAAGTCTCCAGGTGTTCCACTCATGGTTAATCTCCTGAGAAAAGAAATCTCTCCATTTCTGCTATAATATATCTTTCACCTCAGCTCATGCTATACGTTTAGTTCCATGGTCTTTATTACGTATACCATATAAAGCTCAAGTATAGAATCTCTTTTTGATACAGGTGAAATTTTCTCCTGCACTGAGCAGAGAATATCGTCCATACAAACCAGATCCAGCTCCATTGCTGCACATTTGTTCAACTTGGGAAGTTCAATCTAATGAAGTAATGATGATTGGTGACAGCCTTAAAGATGATGTGAGTTTCCTCTCAAGCTGACTGCTCTTCTTCTCTTTCACGTCCACTCTTTGCAATAGGTGACTCAATGCATCTCCATGAAAGATGTGTTATTTTCCTTCACTTAGCTTGACTAAGTTCTTAACTAATTCATATAGGTACTAATTGTGCTTGGCATATGATACTCGAAGCAATTTTCCTGCTTGATCTAACTTTTGTCTGATCGTTAGCAGTTCTTAGCATACGAGCTTTGGCTCCCACCTCTAAGTAGTTACTTTTATGCTTTCTTTAGCCTTGTGAAATTTTTTTCTTGTTCATGCTCGTCAGTCGTCATGCCATTTAGAAAAGTCATGGTAAAATACTTAAATATGTGTTGTGACGTGTAATGAATATTTGGGGGTTTGATATACAGGTTGCTTGTGGCAAACAAGCTGGAGCTTTTACTTGCTTGCTCGACGAAACAGGAAGGTATGATGCTCCAGAATATGCAAACGTCCAACACAAACCAGACTATAAGGTGTCTTCTCTTGTTGAGGTTCAGTCACTTCTAGAAAGAGATTTTGAGCTGACATCTTGATTTTTGCAAATCTTTGGAACCCCCCTGGCCTGGCTGAGCAACGAGATATGGTTTACCCTCGTAAGCCCTCCATGTAGCATTCCTGCATGCACGTTTCTTTTGGTTTCTGTAAGATTACAGTAATTAGATTGCAGCTTTGCTCATGTGAGCGGGAATCTTTGAGATGGTCTCAAGTCATTCATTTTTCAAGCCAAAAATGGGGAATATGAGTTTTTGTTCACTCTTGGTGGTGAAACTGGTGATTTACAGAGACTTTTATCGATTAGCCTGGTTCGTTGTGGGTGACATAGTCACGAGACCATAAATGTGTTTTCGAATGTAGTGTTCTTGTCATCTCTTTGCTCGTAATGGAAGCTCTAGCCACAGGTCTTGCACGCGAATAGTAGCTAAGATTTCTTAGGAATAATGGTACTTGTTAATGCAAAGATTTTCAGAAATGAGACCAAGTTGGTCTGAGAGTTTTTTTCCATCTTTTTTGGAATCCCCGGACAACTCACAACCTCTGTCACATCCTCTGCCGTGTGGATTAATCATAAGTAACAAATGTAACTTTTTTATTTTTCATTTTTTGAATTCCTATTCTATTCCATCAGTTAACAATGTAGATCAAATTGCATCGTTCATATGTACGTACATTGGTGAATGAACTTTAGCAAGTGTTCTTAAATGCTCCTCTTTTTCTCAATGAAGAAGTCATGAGAAATACTAGTAAGGAAAGCATTGCATAGCTAAGTAATACGATAGTTGAAGTACAAGAAATTACAAATAATAACAAAAATTGAATAATACTAATACTATTGGTTACCATCAAGCTTATTCAACTAGAAAATGAGATGACGCTTAATTCATGACATTCATATCTCCTTATCTAAAGTCATATCCTCGACAAATATGATATATATAATTCATCAATTTTTTGAAGATTCATTGCAAGCAATTAATCGATCGCTAAATGTGCTTAATCAAATATTACAAATATCAAAAATTAAGATATTATATTTATATCAATATTTGAGGGACTAAATGTGCAAAACCGTTAAATTCAACCGCTAAGCAGCAAAATTCTGTTTATATATTGGCGCGCTTAAGCAGTTCCCTCTTCAAGAAATCAGTTGAATGAAAGAATTTACAAGAAACAGAAAAACAGAGCAAAATATGACTTTCAGTATCCACGGTTGCTCCGCCGTATTCCACCACCCATCTGCCACCGCCACCGCCAGCGTAGCTGTCTTCTCCGGTGAAAATTGCAACATCATGAACAGTAGTACTGTCTCTCTGAAGAGAAAATCTCTTTCACAGATCTCTTCTCCTTCTGAACCCTCCCCGAAAAGGGTCTCTCTCAATTCACCACCATCCTCCACCGCCATTGCCGCCGCTAAGGATGGTCCAGACCCCATTTCACCAACTACTTCACCATCCCCTAAAAGGGTCACTCGTAATTCACCACCACCCTCTGCCGCCACTGCCATTGCCGCCGCCGAGGATGGTCCGGTACCCATTTCACCAAAAACTTCACCATCCCCTGCATTTTCACCCTTCTCCAAAAGGGTATCTGAAAACTCACCTTTTGCCACCACCAACGCCGCCACTGCTGATGCCACGGCGACGCCACCACCGCTGCCATTTTCAAGATTCACAAAAACGCAGCCGTCCAATAATAACAAAACTCTGCGTCGGACACTATCAGAACCACCAATTTTCGATTCTTTTACTGATTTCTGTCGTTACATGAATTCCCAGTCACCGGAAAACAGCAAGAACAATCCAATCTCTGTAAAATCAATTCTTCGTAGATCAATTTCTGATCCCACTGCTGCGAAAATTATTCTTGCTCCGGCACCGGCAACTGCAACTCCGGCATTGACTTCAGGAACAGGGCATGAAAAAACTACAAGAAGCAAGGTAAAATAAATAGTCTTTTTCTTTTCTTTTTACAGTAATTTTTGCATATTTTATCGAATTTTAAAAATCTTTTTTACTTTCTCAAATTTTATATCGAATCTATCACATAAATTGTTACGTAAGGTGTACATGTTAACACTATCTTATTACTATGTTTTAAGAAATTTGAAGTTTATGTCTAAAAAATCTTTATTCCGAAATGAAGTTATTTTCTGAATTAGAATAAATTATTAGTCAGATTTCAACGTGAATAATAGTAACAATTTTTTTTATTTAATCTTACTTTTCATTTTTGTTTTTTCAATTATAGAAGTGTTAAAAGGGTGGAAGCTGCTGACTAAATTGGCCTGCATGAAGATGGTTCAAGTCCAACAAGAATTTTTCATATTTCATACAAAATAATATTCATGAATATACTTTACATGTTAGTTTTAGTGAAATATATAGCTAGTGTTTTTTCCTCTTTTTTCTTTTTCTTTTTTTTTGTGTTCTTTTAATTTGTTAATATCATCTTATATGGATGATTTAGGAGCATTTTGATCATGGTGAATATTGATTTGAAATGGACGGATTAAATTGAATTCGAGCGAATTGTAAGAAGTTGAGTTAATAAAAAGATGGATTAGTGACTCGTTTAGAAATTATTTGGATTGAAAATTTATAAGGGGAAGTACAACCAAATAATTCATGTTGCATGGATTGCATGTGGTGGTACTGTCGTAATGAATTTTAATACTCAATATTTTATATTACTTCGTTCATATTAATTTTACGTTATTTCTAAAAATTTGAAATTCATTTTTTTTTAGTATCGTCTCAAGAGAAAGTACTTCTGAATGGTTTTCGATGAATATCAAATTCAATGCAGTGAGATGTTTGAAATCTTTTTACTTCTCTCAATTATATATACACGTATAATGTTTTTATTAATAAAATATTTCATTGATAGATTAGTGAAATTAATTAATGTTTCATAATCACAATTAAGAACATACCGCATATATTAAGTTAGTAGTCACATCACATGTCACATGTCAAAAGTCTTCTTCGTTGATTACGATTTACATATTACTAGTGCTAATTTGTTTTTCATCCCCCCTCCCCCCACTCCCACCCAC